TATAAAGTTGTTTTGAGTTATAAGATAAATGTAAAACGTTTTTCCATTTTTTGGAATTTGCATACTTCTAAGTTCTTAAGGCTTGCCAAGTGTGTATGCTTGCGCGGTTAGCTTAGTTTCCTAGTTATAAGTTAATGATCTCTTTTGGTAAATAATTAAAAAAAAATCAAAATTTGACATTGTTTTCAAAAGTTACTAGGAAATGGCGTATAACGTGCTTAAAATTAAATTTTGTTTAACATTTTTTCTGTATATTCATTAATTGTGTATAAATGTGTCCTCAGAATTTCATGTCGGAAATTTCTTAAAAAAAAAAGTCCCAAAAATCACTAGCAGAATAATTGTACACTTTCGACAACTGTGTCCATTTGTATATTTATTTATTATTTACTTGCCTCCATGACGAAAAAAGGGATTGACCGCCGACACAAAAACAAATTATGTAATTTAATCGTAATAAATGTCGAAATATTCATTTTTTTTTTTAATTATGTCAACTGCATTGCTTGAAATGATTAAGAGTATAATAATAACACAGTATTTACAGTAAAAGCTGTTTTAAGTTCGCCGAGTTAATTTAAAATGAATTAAATATTTTTTACAGACAAATATGCAGTTAATTAAAAGCTATTGATAGTACTCGAGGATTTTCGCTCCGGTCAAATTAGACAGAAAATAGATGCTGAAAGTTAGTAAATATGTTCAAAATATTATTCAAAATAACATACTAAAAGTTTTGATCGTACCAATATGTGGAAAAAAATTTCGAGGTCAAAAGTAATAATATTTTCCACCATTTTAACCCAGCGGTAAGTTGTATGCAAAAATTACCTTAGACGAGAATTATAGTTCATTAAATTATCCATAAAAAATGCATGAATATTTTTTCCCTAAGGCCTACCGTTTCTATATATTATATATATATAATGATTATTATCGTTTGGGCCAAAACAATACTTAGACATTGGCGAATCGAACAAACAACTGGCATAAAACAAATTCACTAGCATAATTTAATAATAGATCCATTACGAGTAGTTATACCATTTAGCAAGATGTCTACATACTCTTTATTATTGAATACAACTAAAAGGCTTGTTTCTGGCTTTTTTTATGTAAATATGTTACAAGAGCTCGAACATAGCGAATTGTCAAGAGTCTGTGATTTTTAGAAGGCTAATGAATGAATATTTTACTAAAATATTTTTACATCATTTTTGTTTTCCGTGTTCGCCATTTAATAAAAATGTTTTTGTAATTTTGCCATTTTGTTGTGTTTGCTATTTTTCCTCTTTCAAAAATTTCCTCACTTCCTTTTTACTTTAGTATTTTTTTCTCTTCTTAAAATTTCCACATTCCTTCTTTACCTTTGTAGTCACATAAAATATTAGTAAATAATCAATGCGATGAATTATTACCCAGCTTAATGCCAATTAAGATTGTAACAAATTAATTGGACTTAAAAAAATTTATTGTTGCATTTCTCTCAAGTCACAGAAGCATTGGCATTTGAGCAATGGAATTTCATAGTATGAGTTATTACTCTGAGTACAAAATTGTGAAAGATTGTGTACACACTCACGCCAAAAAGAAAGCTTTGTCGTATGAGTTTTTTGCAAAAAAATATTTTTTTACGCTGACCAACAATTATCAGTTTTTGATTTGATTTTTCAAGGTTGTTGAGTACGAAAACGATTTTTATACATATGTCCTTAGATCACATAATTTCATCGAACTTTTTCGAACTTCGAATTTCGAATTTTTTATTTATTATATGTAGACGAATAAAGTCTCCCATCATAGAAAGAATTTTACCTCCAGAGAAAATTTTAGCCGTACTGAATATACATTTTTTATACCTAGATTGGTATGACCTTTTTTATGTTAATGTACAAAGTTTTTTCGGGAATTTACTTTACACAGTCAGGTATTTGCGGGACAAAAAGCAATGAGTGAAGGTCATGAAGTCATTGAAAACTTCACTCATGCAAATCGTCCATCCAACTTTTTTAATGGCAATAAAGTAAACAAGTTTTAATAAGAACAAACAATTTACTCGGTTTAAAAAATTAATTTGTTTTGCGGCAAAATAGAAATAGGTAGTCTATGAAGCCATGTCTTTTGTTCTTATATTGAACAGATCCTCATATAGGCCTATTGTATTATCCCATTAATATTGAACAGATCCTAATGTAAGCGTTTTATATAATCCCAGAAGTAAATTCTTGCTCTTTAAAGAGTTTTAGCAGTAATAATACTGAAAAAGCCATTATACCCTGTATCACATATTTCCAAAGCATAAAAATATGGTTTTTGCGGCTTTTCAACCAATGAACGTGTAAAATTGTAAAAACATGTTCCACTTCACTACGTTTTCCTTGTTATTTACGCCACAGCAAGTTTAAAGTACTCGCTATGTTTTTCAGCTACTCATTATTATGCTGATTTCTCTCTTTTAAAATTTCTCTCGTTGCTTGCCAAATAATCTACTCCATATTATTGCAACCTTTTTTGTTTCGAGTTCAATCGTTGTTTATTTATAACTGTAACGTTTGACAATTATTGTTTGTTTGGCTTGCAGATTTTTTCCCCGTTTATTTTCCGCTCGGCTGCTTTGTTCGCTCTGAGTTTTTATGAACTTTTTTTGTGTTGTTTTGGGTCATCAGTAACCCTTTGTGCGCATATTTAATGCAATTTCAATACAAATTTCAATTCAATTTCAATTATTGACCAAACGACAGTAATCACAAAGCGTTCACTGACACATACATACACGGAGGGTGCAGTGCAGTCAGACAGTTCTATTAAAGTAATTGAATTGTAAAGTCAATGTTGGGTGCTCAGGTGGGTTGGGTGAATCATGGAGGGGTTGTGAGAGTAGAGGTATGTGGGCGTAGCTGCAGCAATGTTTGGAGGTGTTCGTTGGATAACACTGCAGTTATTGGCAGGCGGTTATTTAAGGCGTGGTTGAGTCTGCTGTAACCTGCAAAGCTATGCCTTAATTGATGGGCTGGCTCGTTTCTCAATTCGAAATAATTGTTTTTTATTATTGTTATTAACTTGAATGATTACAATAACAATGCAATATCATTAATATCAGCAATGTTGTAATGAGTCAGTAGTAATCATTTGGGCATCTTATGCTATTCAACATCGCTGCCTTTATAACTGACAGTAGGTACAATTAAATTTAATACTATTGGTATTATTTACCCTTGCTTAGAAATTTGCAAACGTAGTGGATGAAAAATAAAAAGTATAGTTCATATCTAACTGAAAAACGTCAAAAACTTTAATTTTAATTTTGATTTTATATAGTGGGGATATTCTAGTAAGAAATTGAAAAAAAGGAAAAACGGAATTTATGTTCTTTTATATTTCGATATTTTATATATTTTAAAGAATATATCTAAACGAATTTTTGAAAATTCAAATTATTTTCAAAGCTATATCCGTTTTAGTGTCGTGACAAGTAGAACGATTTGAGCGGACCTGAAGGTCTAATCAATAAATTTACCTGAAACTCTGTATAAAAAACTTAAAATTTCTTAAAAATTTGAAAAAAATTTACATAACTTTATTTCATTTTAGTTGGTTTATATCATAATGAAATTTATGGCAATTAAGAACTAGGGGTATAAAAATCGTGACGACGAGGACTCGACCTTTTTTCTCTCTATACCTTAAGAATGCACAAAGTTTATGTATATTTTTTGTTTTGAAATTTATCATATTTATTTTTCATTTATGTTAGGATATACCGAAAGTAGGTGAAGATATGCAATGAAATTTATTGCCACTAATAACTGATAACTCTTTTGTCGAATTATCGAAACCGTCTTTACCTTTTTCTAGATCCCAAGTGTTGAATATAAGGACTATATCCCTTGCTAAACTTGTATCGAAAATTTCGATAAATTTATAAGTTATTTTTGTAATACAAAATTTAAAAGCTTCCAATAGTTGTTAACACTATGATCTGGTGCTAAAAGTGGCTAAAGTCGGTTTAGTACTTCCCCTACCAGCATATATATTTTATTTAGATATTTGTCCTTTGACTTTATACCGTATATATTGGTCAACCAATGAACCATTAGAGTTTGCTGGTTGCAATTAATTGGTCGAGACCTTCGTCTAGGACCTATATATCTAATAAGAATAAGCATTTTTACTCCTCTCGTATCGGTTAACATTTTTGTTTACTGAAATATTATAATAGAAACGGGACTCGGTCTCAGACATTTATTAGATCCATCCGTATGTGCCCTTAGCTTTCGTATAACCAAAGATTATAAAATATTTTATTTCGATTTTTTTTATATTTTTATAAGAAACGGTTCAAACATGGCGTATAATAAAAAGTAAGTATACCACGAAATTCGTTAACCTCACAAAATGTTTACATAAATTATCTGCGTAACGAGCTGAGTTGTTTTAGATACTTCTTTCTGTCTGTATATACGCCATTTAGCGACTCACTTTTTGATATATCGATCTGAAATTCTACATAAGTCTCTTTTTCCCCAAGAAACTGTATTATTTTCCAAATCCGCGATATCGGACCACAATAGCATAGAACGACCAAACATTTTGATCGATCAAAGTCAACATAAAGATCTTAAAAAAGTATTTGTTTTCTTATTAAGTAACCTTAATCTGAGTTGAAGGTTGTTGCCATCAAACAACGTGGCTAGAAAGAACTAGCAAAATGTTTTTCTTTGATCCTGAACAGTTGGTCGGTTACGTTTTCGGACTTAGTTATATATATAGTTGCTATATGAAATTCAGCTTTGAAGCTTATTATTGCTTCGGTGCAGTTTTTTTGTTGTTTCTTCTGAATACATTTCCAATACTTTACCAGATTTACTACTAGCAAATAACATTACTTAATAACAAATTTTTCTGCCAGTTTTTATAATACCACTCATTTAAATACTTACTATCACCTTTGACGTTATATTTATCAATCAACTTTAGTAAATAAAACAATTTGCTGGGAATTTAAATTTTTATTGTTTTTTTTTAATTTTTATTAAATTCCGTTTAATTATACTTATACAATTCATTATTTGTAATACCAATTCACAAATACTATTGTTTTTCATTACTATGGATCTGTTTGTTGTTGTTTTTTTGTTTACACAACAAATATGTATTAGCGAAAACTTTCATAACTTTGCATTTGCTTGTTTTTGTCTCTTTTAATTTTCATTTTTGTCGACAGTAATCGCTTTAATTCCACCTCAATAATAAATACGACGCAGACAAATAATTAAATATGTTCGAAAAAATCTGTTGCAGCTGCACCACCCTGTCTCTATATACTTATGAATAAGTGGGTATGCGTGTGTCTGTGCTTTTTTTTGTGTGTATGTGTGCTGCTTGTTGCGTCTACAGCTCCCGCCAGCATTTAGCAAACTAATAAGCTTGAAGTTATTTACTTACTTACTCACACACACACACACACAGAAGGTCGTTCAAGCACACACACATACTCTTATGCGCTTTGCTTACACAATGTCGGCTTAATAACTGTTCATAATCATTTATTATTAATTAATTAATTTTATTTTTTAAACATATTGTTTTGTTGTTGTAATTATTACAATACGCAAAATTGTTTGAATGCGTTTTTGTGTGTGGCTGTGCGTTTTTCCGATTCTTAATGTTGTTTTTGTTTTTTTTTTGTTATATCGTTAAACACAAAAACCATTTAAATGCACGCATAAACGCATTGTTTTTGTGACTTTTTTTGTTTGGGTTATTCAATTTAAAAACGATTTAATATTAATTTTTGGTTTTAATTGTACATAATGAGTAATAAAATTTGTTTTGTTTTTGTTTTTCTTCTGTTCGCTTCTCTGTGTGTGTTTTCTCGTATTTTGTTGTTGTTGTTTTTTGTTTATATTTGTGCGCTTTTAGTTTTGCGCAAAACTTTGTTTGCCAACTTCTTTATTTGATTATTCAATGTTTCATTTGTTTTTTTTTTTATTTTGCTTATTAATTTTCATACATTTATTAATTACTTTTGTTGTTGTTGCTTGAAAATTAAAAGTTCATTATTTCCAACTGTAAAATATTTAATTGCAATTAGAAATGCTCGGTAAACATACAGTTATATAATATATATATCTAGATTGTTTGCCAATACCAATTACGCCAAGTAATCTGCTTGTAATTTATTAATATTTTAAATATTCTGTGTATTTTGTGGTTTCACTGGTCATATACAAAGCATGACTTTTATTGTTATATAAACGGCATTAAGCTATGCGTGAAAAGTTCTCTACAACGGTATTAATAACGTTATGTAATGAATGAAAAACATCTGACATGCAACATGTGCATTACATTTGCCCAATCTGCTTTAGAGAGACAATTATGAAAAGCTCGAAGAATATGATGCAATTCACATTCTATTGACCTCCAATAAGAAGATTTAAGCAACGATAGCTCGAAATAAGAGCAATAAGGCTATATTATTATTAAGAATATATTTAAATACAGCGGCTGCTAAAAGCATTAAGCAAATATTCAACATATTTAGCTTGTTCCGAGTCTTCGAAACGAACCGATATAATTGAATCTATAATCAACTACTTATATTTGTTCAAACCGCCTTCATCGGCATGAAAAACACTTCAATTAAAATTGTAAATTTCATGTAAATTTCATATCATCAGAATTTTGCTGAAAATATCATCTATTTACTTACTACATTAGCATTCCGCATATCGCATCAGATCTAAAATAAATTTTGTACAGATAATCACATTTCTGACTTCTCTGTCTAAGGCTTCTAATGATAAGAACAAAATATAAAATTCTAATTATTTTCAAAGCTATAGCCATTTTAGTGTCGTGGCAACTACACCGGTTTGAGTGGACGACGAAACTTTAACCCTGCTTTCCTCGAAAGCCGCGCTGCACTTTATTTCTTGACATTGACTCCTCTCTCATGCCTCCATGACGCCTACTATTATGTTACAGTCGTAGTACGTTATTTTGTTCTAACATATAATCAATAGTACTCTCAGCGCACGCCATGAGAATGCCTACCCTTTTTGAAAGTATAATATAAAATATTTGCCCATGTTCACCAAGAAGAGTGTAGCTTCCAACGGTAAAAAAATTTGTCAAAGCCGAAGTAGTTTCTGAGCCTATTCAATTCAAACGAACAATAAAATCTTTCCTCTTTATAATAGTAAAATAGATAATGTCGTTAGTTCGGACGTTTCTAGATCGATTTCTAAATGTTTCATGTCTAAATTACCTTCTCTTTTTGATAGCTGCGTCTGTTTTGACAGGCATGGACTATTTCTTAACAAATTTGTTGACAACTTCATAAATCAATAATGAGTATCGATAAAAATTTCCGTCTTGAAATTCCATGTTGGATTTCCGCAATACATTTTTTTAAGCTAAATAACGGGTATATTTTTAGACGTGTGGTTTTCAATAAGGCAATACTTTTTTCAGATTTGATATTTTTGACAGCTCCTACTTGATTTATACTCAGTTTGGTTTGCCAGTTTATAATAAACGGACTTACTCCGAAACAAAGTTTGCAAATCGTGGTTCGATTCGCGCGACCCTTCCTGCGCTGCATCCAATGAGCTATGAGCTCACTTTGGGTTGAAAGGGTACGTTAATAAATAAAATTGTCGCATTTGGAGTGATGCTAATCCACCTGCCATTGTTGAGGCACCGTAACAACTTCAAATGGTCGCTGTTTGGTGTGCTCTAAGGACAGAGGGAGTCATATTTCTTTCAAAATTAAGCCGGTCCTAGTATTAGAGTCCATGAGTAATGCTATAGAGCCATCATTAATGACTTTTTCTTGCTTGAATTGACGAATGTTGCTTAAACTACACCGTTTTTATCGAAACATTCCTAACTTTTATTATAAAGTCTGATAAAGATCATCGAACTGTCAGGAATTTGGCTTGATCATATGGAATTGCACAGAAAAAGGTCTCATAGCGGAAGATTTCACTGTTCTTTAATTATGTAAGGCCTGTGACAACTGTCTGTTGGGGATGGAACGTAGATATTTCATATTTTTAAGGTGGAAAAGCAAAACAGCGTATAGTTCACTTAACTCTTCATAGTTGCTAAGTGAAAACATGCTTGTGGTGAGCGATCTTTTGAACAAATTTTGAAATAAGCATAGGAAGTTGGCTTGGGACTCCGTAAAAGGTGTTGAGTGTAGACTAGGATTTATTTCTGTAAGAGGTTCCAGATCATATGAAAAAAAGGAGCTCAGTGGAAATCTTATGATTTTTACCTTACAGGGTGCTTACGGTCAGTACATAAAGGCAAATACATAGGCTCAAAGATCATAGGATCGAAGATCAACTGTGCATAGAGTAAAATGAGCTAAGCATATCGATATATTATATTACCTTGCAGATTACCTGGCGTGGCGTTGGCATGAAAAGTTAGTTACTTGCAAAACGAACTATGAAACGCTTTAACTTTTTCGGCTTATATAGTAAATCTAAAACATTAAAAATGTATAACATCATATCAATGGCTTTGGTGTTGGCTTTTTTGTATGTAAAATTGTTTTTTTTTTTTTGTTTGTTTCTGTTTTATGTATTTGTATGTGTAGTAGTTTGTGTAAACCTATGCAATGATACTCAACTATTTTGGCCTTGATCGAAATCTACGTACATCAATGTAAACCTTCTGCTTATACCCTGCTCACCTTTGTTATTTCTGCAATTTATTTATCTTAATATAAAACAAAATGACAACTCACGGGTCACCAATCATATCTTTGACCTTTAAGAGTGTGTTGTGACCAACATAGACCATTTTGCTTATCTCTCAAATTGACATGCTATATTTATTTCTCTTTTTTTATCCCTTAGCTGCTAATTTTTTCACGTAGATCCCAGTTGTTAAGCTGCGTGATGTTTGAAATTATTATCTGCCTCTACATTTCTTGATATTCTCTGAGCTTAAGCAATGCTATGCCTCGCAAACAATTATTATTTCCGCGTTAGTTCGCGTTCCACTTTTTTTAATCTTACCTACAAACTTAGCGCTGCTTTATCAGTAAATATATATATATATTTTCAAAAGATTCATATATATATATATTTACTTGCCTTTGTTTTTGTTTTGTTTTATATGTGAGTGCTCAACACTTCAGCCTTCTTACTTCACACCTGTGCTACCTATTATAACCATCTCTCTTTCTCACTTCTCGCTCACTCGCCGTAGGTAGTCCGCTTAACCTAGAATCTTCTTGAAATAGCTGACAGTTTCTGGTTTGGTCAGCACGCGATGGCGATTCGGCTTGTAGGGCGGCGTCTCGGTTTGCTCCTTCATGAAGTTGCGCGTTGGTGCCGGTGGCTCGATGGTGTGTGCAGCATGATGTTTCGTATGCTTACCCTTGTGTGTCTTCTCGATGCGCGGCTGGCAAGTGCGATGTACACGCGTCAGCTTCTTGCCGTCGGCGGCAATTTCGGTTGTGGAGCTCGCATCCAAGGTATCGGCGGTTGTCGAGTCTAAATCTGTGTCACTGCTGCATGCTGTTGTTATGGTTATTGTGTGTGTTGTTGGTGTGACGGTTGCTGCGGAAGCAAAAGCGGAAGCTGCGGAGGAAACCATGGGAGCGTTGGTAGCAGCATAAGCTGTGGCCAAGATTGATTGTGCTGAAGGACTTACATTCTCGGCGTTGCCATTGTTTCGCAGTATGACTTCAGCTATTGTTGTTGCTGTTGTTGTTTTGTTTGGCTTTTGTGTTGTGGCTAAGGCCTTTATTGTGTGCAGTTGCTTATCCGGCTTTGTTGTAGTAATACTGTTAGTAGTTGTTGTTATAATGGCTGGCATTTCATCTGCTCCAACATTAGTTGTCAGCACGGACATTTCTTTTGTTTGTGGGCGCCGTTTTACTGGCTTCTCAATTTCATGTCTTGAAGCGATGTCATCAGATTTTATTATTGTTGTTGTTGTTGCTGGTGTTCCTGTAGTTGTTGTCAGTGTTGCGGGTGCTGCCGTAACATGCTGCTTGTTAACGTTGGCAGCCTGTGTTGTCAATGGCGCTGTTGTAGTTATTGTTGTTGTTTCATCTGCTTTTGTTGTAGTTGTTGTTGCTTGCTCAACAACAACTTCTTTGACATCTTCAATTTTCTCTTCAATTTTGTCGTCTTCACTGGCAGTTTGCGCTTGTCTTTTCAAATTGTTCGGCTTGTCATTGTCTTGCTGTTGTTGTTGTTGTTGTTGCGATTGCTGCTGATTTATCTTTGCCGCACTCGTGCTGTCTATTATCTTAGCGGTTAGCTGAGCTGCCATCTGCTGGTCTTGTTGTTGTTGCTGCACCAGTACTGTGGATTTATCGATCGTCTCGCTTGTCAATCCATCAATGTTGGTGGATGTCTCTGATGCTGCAGCTGTTGCTGTTGTTTTTGTTGTTGTCGCTTTTATTGCTGCCATTGTGGCGGTCACCGTTATTGTGGTCATCGTCTCAACGTCAGTTTCAGCACTTTTCTCGGCCATTGTATGACTGTGTGTTGTTGTTGTGGGCGTGTAGTTGCTTGCACTGCTAGAGTGAACTGTACCCTCAATTGGCTTACCTTGAGTATAACAGGTCAACACAAAAGGATGGTGGTTAAATTAATTCAGTTATATGTCATGAATTTAATTTGATAGTTTGAAGTGAAAGATATAATACTCCAAACCAAAGATGTGCTTTCATAAACAATTAAGTTTAGAAATGACAGCTATCGGATTACACCCTTCGAATATAGGGTTCGAAACTCGATGTCGAATGAAAGTTTTGGCAACTGGACCAATCTAATTTAATGTTCACTAGTACATTTGATACTCTCTCCTCAATCATGGGCATGTCTCTTATTAATAGCATAGCTTCGTGTTTTCAGAGCCAAATAAAAGTAGGAGTAATATACTTGTATTCTCTAATTTTATGACAGGACTCTTGAAGTCTTTTAAATTAGTTCTAATAATAGGTTTAGGTTAAAAAGTCGATCCTAAAGCGAATACCACTTGATTAGCTGAGATTCTCGGTCCGCACAGGAGCTAGTTGTGAATCAGCAGCTGCTAAGCTCATTGAAAATCCTTTTTGAGATCTCATCAGCTTTGAGACGACGGGTCTCAGTAGCTTGATGCTTTTATATAGTGAGATCAGACACTTTAATTAACTTTGAGCACACTGTGAGCAAGCTTAAATCTTGTCTTTCCGGTATAAATGCTCACGACCCTAAAATAAGCTGCGCTTCGGAGAAATACATCTACTGCTACCTTAGTGGCAGTCACCTCTTCTTAAAAAACGCTACATTGTTCCGGTAGCCTAAAACTATGCTTGAGAGCTCCCATTTGTGAAAAAGCTCACTGCGTCTCTTCTTCAGCGGCTTTGAACCATCCACATGTCACTCGTCAGGAAGTGAGCTGGCTCTGGCATCTACCTTGCTACAATAAAATATGTTTTTATAAGTACGAAAGATTCCTTTTCAATCTCGGAATCCATGAAAAAGTTTAGGCAAAATAAAGCAAGAATTGAAACTCCTCAGCAGATCTATTATACTCGTATATTACGTCGCTTTGCAATGTTTTAAGTTTTAGAGCTGGTTTTTGGTATTAGTAATCAAATTCGCTTGGTCAGAGGAATATAATGCTGCAAAAAAAGTTCTATCATATTGCCTTTTTTCAAAACTGGTGGTTTCAAAATACGAGATTATTAAGAGCTAGTTAGTTAGTTGGTTGTAAAAATCGTCTTGTCTGAAATCCTGAGCAAATTGTTTGCAATTGAATTTACTTTATCATAACCATTATGTTTCTAGTTCAATATTTTATCTCTCCCAACCTACCTCTGTTTAAAAGAGTGACCCAAAAGACAGACACTAACAATACAAATTCAAGCCTCTGTCTCCGATAGTTTCAAACTCACCTGTTGTCACGTGAATATCTGCGTGTCCATCATGAACAACGGATACCGTATTCAAGCTTGCGCCGTGATGTTCGTGTTCATTATGCTTTGGCGGGGGTACATAATGAGATTTCACCAACAACATTGGTGGTATAAAATGCGAATTATCTGCCAACTCTTTTACATGTGGATGTGGCAACTCGTCGAGTTTACCATTAGCATGCTGCTGTTGTGGATGCATTGGATGACCGATATTCGAAAGTGATTCAGTGTCTTCGATGTCAATCGATTTTGCAGCCACGTGTGATGTTGTTGAGCTACTAGGCGATGTGGAGGAAGAGTGAGTAAGAGTCTCGGACTCGGTTGTATGCGCAGATGCGACGCTGGAAGCATGTATGGTGGTAGCTGCTACAGGTTCTTCGGTAGTCTCTGCTGTTGTTGCTGAAATTTTCACACCCCTGGCGGTTGTGGACGAAACAAAGTCTGGAGCTGTAGTAGTGCTTGGTGCACTTGTTGTCGGTGCTGCTGTTGTAGTGGTCGTTGTGGTGGTTGGTATTGTGGTAGTCGTAGTTGTGGGGGCCAATGTGGTACTACTTGTAGTAGTGGTCACTGGCGCTGGTGTAGTAACGAAAGTTATTTTCTTCTCACTCATCGGTGCTGGCTTTTCTCTGCTTATCATCTCCTCCGAAGATTTTTCGGTTATGGGTGTCATTGTTCTCAAGTCCTGTGGCAGCACTTTCTTCTTATGTGGCAGCGGTTCCATTATTTCATTGGAAACCTCATCATCTTCAGGTCCTACATGCTCCAACATTTCCGGTTCGCCGCTTTGTTGTGGCTGATCGCCCATCATCATGTCTTCCAGAGCCAACAATTGTTGTTGCTTCTTTGGTTTCGGTGTTGGTGGTGGCAATTGAATACTGCTTTCGTCATATTTCTGTGCACGATTCTTCTTTTGGTATTCCCCACCATTTGTTATAATCACTTTCTTTGCAGCTTTCTTCACTGGTTTGGGGATCTCACCGGGTATGTGATAATTACTCATTGGCATTGCCGCCTCATCTGCTTGCATCAGATCGTCCACATTGAATTGTTCGATCAGTCTTTGTACGGTATTCTTTTCGGTTGGAACTTGCTCAGAGATGTCGCTGCTGCTGGCCGAGCCGTAAGATGTTTCGCCTAGGGGTAAGAGTTCAATGTCATTATTCTCATTGTTGTCTGTACGTATACTATTGATGATTTGCAGCGATTTGAAGTGAGAGTTGGTTATGTCATTGATACGCTGCGCTTCGAGACGTTCTCGTGGACAGATCAGTTCGCGTAGTGCACGATCACGGTCCTGTGGAAGAAAGTAGGTTGAAAAAGATGGTTGCGATTAACATTGCTATCACGAAAAGTTTTGTTTATTTGCTTCAAAGCTATTATTAGTTTGTGTCAACCTTGTCAGCAGTGGGATTAGGGAAACATTTCAGAGCCATTTCTAAAACTTTCTTAATTATTCCTGTCTGAAATTTTTTCAAAAATAACTAAATTTCCTAGTATTATAAAAATAAGTCTTGGAAATAGACGCTTGAATTGGTTAAAAAAATATCCAGCCGCTAGACAACGATCGAAGATAATATTGTATTCTTTTACTGCAGAGTTTTCGTCAATATTGTATCGGCATAGTGCATCGGCTTGAATTGAACGATATTTTACTGCTTTTTAGTCCTGGATCTCTAATGGATAGTCTAATCTTTGGCTAGACCAGATAGACTGAAAAATCGATGCTGTTTTATAGAACTTAAACTTTAAAATCAGTCTTAGTCTTGGCGATTTCTTTCCAGCGAGAATATTGAGGTTTGAGAGCAGCAAAAAGTTGTGGATACCAAAACTGGAGCAACTAGGATAAAGAAAAAATAAATTTTTCTTCCTGGAATCTATATTTTCGCGATCTCGTCATTTTCAGCTTGCCTGTTTATCTTTACTTTGGAAATGTGAACAAAGAGGTTACAGAAAAGGTTAAGTCCAATCTATATTGAACTTGACAAATATAATTTCATTTCTATCTAGAAATATTGTCTTTCCATTAGCACAGCTGTAGACTTAAAACAAAAAATCTGACAAGTTCTCTAGTTTATTATCAATTATTTTAGATGCAAATATGAAATTTAAACGATTTTTGAATTTTGTGATTCTTTTGGGACTTTTTGAATGCATATTTCAGTAAATACTTAGTATTAAACCACTTAAAAGTTTCCAACGGAGCTTTCATCACACTTACCTGTTTCCCCTTGCACGACTGCTTCAGCAGACCCTCCTCGGCGCAGTTACGTATCAGCTCAATGCTTGCAGTGTCGGCCATGTACTGCATGGTAAGATTCGGCATATCCTTGAGTATGCAAGAATCCGCCCAAGAAGGCACTGAAAGAGCATAAAACGAAAACGAAGAAATGGAGAAACCAAGAAAATAAGATATTAAAATAGATTTATATTTTTACTGTGAACATCAATTACTCAGAAATCAAAGATTGCAGCATTCCAGTTATTCCCAGATACACACTTAACATTATGTCGTCGATTTTAAGTTTACAACACAAAACAAAAAAACACCATTCAACACAGCATAACATTTACTTACCTGGCATTTCGCAGAGGAACGATGCGGTCTCGGGTCCGCCACAACGCAACGCATGCCAGCGATAATCGCGTATGGGATCGATAACGGCGCATAGTGGGGCATCCATTAGTGGCAGCGATTCAGCCCAGTAGCCAGTGTCGGTGACCAGTGGACGGGAATTGCTAAATGTAAAGAAGAGGCATATTTAAACGCAATGCGGGGAGGCGGCGAAAAGAGAGAAAGATGTAAAGTTCATCAGCGAAAACTGCAAATACACCGTTGTAACTAAGTGCTACATCACTAGATATGAAAGCAAAGGCTGTTTGCCTCGTGCTATTAGAGAATACATAAATTGCGGTCTACTTTTAGGCGGACAGCGTATGTACAGTATGAAATCTCATTGCAATAGCGGCGCTTAGAAACTGCAATGCTTTTAGGCGTTTCAGCGTATTTCACTCGTAAGCCTTAATGGCTGGGGCATGACCTGGTAAACATGTAGCGCACACACACACACGTACACCGAGCCGATTGTATTTGTGCGAATTCAAAGCGCTTTTAAGCGATGGTTGAAACGTGTTTGTGTATTTGGGTTAGCGCTTTATTCACTGTTAGAAGATGAATGCTCGAGTGTTTGACTTGCTTTATTTTTATTTTTGGTGTCTGCTGTCTATTTGTCTTAAATGCAGTTGATAAATGGAACTTAGAAAGTAGGTAACCCAAAGGTTGCAAGCGAAATAATTAAAACCATCAATTAAACTGACTGAATTGATTGGTTAGAATTGAAAATTGAAAATGTAACTGAAGTTGATAAATGATAACTTAAAATTGTATTTAATGTATAAATAAAATTTTCAGTCAGTTTAGGAAGGATTTTTATACCCTGAACATAGTCGATTTAGCCAAGTCCGTCAGTCTGTATGTACGTGAACAAGTCCCACAGTTTTTGAGATATTACTCTGAAATTTTGCATACAGCCTTTTATTTCCAAGAAGCAGCTTATTTGTCTGAATTGATGATATCAGATCACTATAGCATACATCTGCCATACAAACTAACGGAAGCAAGTCCTTGCATAGAAAAATTTTTTATTTGACAAAATATAGTTACGAAATTTGGCATGGATTATTGTCTAAGAAAATAATGCAGTCTCCAAGAAAATTGTTCAAATTGGGTCACTATAGTATATAGCGGTCATACAAACTGAACGAGCGGAATCAAGTTCTTGTAAGAAGACTTTGTATTTGTGAAGGGCATTATATTTAGCCAAAGCTAACCTTTTTCCTTGTTCTTTCAATTATTTAATATTTTGAAAATCCAAATATATTTTTAAAAACCTCTTGAGATTTTCAAAGTTACATAATAAATGAAGAAATAAACAAAACAACTTCTTCTAGGATTTGTTTAATTAAAGAGGTCGCTTCACGAATTCAAACTATTAGATATATTTAAAACTCTCGGTCTTTCGTATTCAAAAAAGTCAATTTGGCCAATCACATATCAACATAAACTGAATGTACTCATATAGAAACCTATATCAAGAAAAATCATATATCTAATCATTAGGCTGAGTCATAAAAAATATTTAATTTTTTTTTTCGAAATCCTCACGTAAAAACTTTCGTGGAGATGTAAGGAAAATTTTTAATTATCTTAACCACTTTGGAGATATTCGAGGTCAAACTTAAAATTACAAAAAAATCACATCCTTTTTTTACTAATTTGGTTTTTTTTAATTTTTTTTTGTTTTTGATTTTCTAAAGACTTTTTTGTAGAGCGTCAAATTTCCTATAAGAACATAATTTGGTTCAACAATCCGTTAAACCGATTCAGAGTTGCAAAATTCTAAAATTAAAGAAACATTTTATTCATGTTATTTAAATGGGAAATAGAAACCTGCGATGCGCGACCTCTTAATATTAATATTAAGGGCTCTGATTTTCACAGGCGTCATTTCACATCTCCACGAAAGTTTTTACGTGAGGATTTGGAAAAAAAAATTTTTATATTTTTTTTTGAATCAGCCTACTATTATGTTAAAACTTTTTTTAAATGGCATAAAATGTAAAAAATAAATATTTAATATTGTTAAAAAATGAACAGATAAAATTTTCATAAAAAATTTATTTTTTATTTCTAAAAGAAATGGTATAACAACAACATTTGAAGAAATTATGTTATATGTAAAATATAGCAAATCTGTTATATAAAATACAACCTTTTTTTGCACAAAGTATATCCAATTCATATATTCGTATTGCACATGAGAATTTCTATTTGTATGTATTTTCAATACTTACGCCCACATAAAACGATCCGAACTCTGCGGCCTCATCAAACCGATCCAAACGATGTCATTTACATCAAGTTCACGGAGTAGGTCTCTTGTTGCATCAAATTGGAAGCTGTTGTCGACTGTAAGTAAAATTGAAAAATTTTGTTGTTATGATTATGAAATGGTTATATACTGCAAAGGAGTTAAATATGTATGAGAGTGCTCCCATAATATTTTATTAGTCTTAAAATTGCAACTGATCTATTACTTTTACTAAAAAACACTTCACTTATAAAAAGTAAACAGTTTCTTTGAGAGTGGCAACATAATTCATTGCAGTGAATAGCGACTGTAAAATGTGCCTGCAACAAATGAAAAAATAAAAGAAAAATGTATACTTAAATGGATTCTAAGTTTAAAAGTTTGAAAAGAACTTGCTAGCGTGTGACAGAATCCTATAAAAAATTCTACCGTTTCCTTAAAATTATCAAATGACACTTGGCAGATGCCAAAAGCTTGGAATTTTTAGACGGTGTAGGAAGTAAATTACACCAGTTATTTTAATCTTAATTAATAAACGACAAAGAGTTAAGATTTTCATCAATTAATATCCTCCTTCTTTTCAATTTAATTACTTAAAATTTTTGATATGAACCCTTACATATTTTATATCATATCGTTCAATGAAGTAAAATATCCTGTATTTCTAAGCGAAGTTCTCGAATCACATCCATCATAACCACTTTATCACTCGAAGAATATGATGATTTTTTTACGATTCTTATATGTACACTTAAAACTTGCTCATAAACTCTTCATAATAGAAGATCAGTTTATATACGATTTCATGCTAAAAGTACCAGTTCAAACTGATTGTCGTTCCCTTAAGAATATATTTAATTTTCGATCTATGAAGTTTTGATTTGACTAACGTTATCTTGAACATAAATCCATAAAGTCTAAAGTCAAAATGCTCACGACATTGATTGGATGATCTGAACTATGAACCTAAGTAGTGTCTACTCATCCAAGGGCTTAGTGCTGTAGTTCAACAGATTTTCATTGGCACTTTCATCATTTATTTTTTTGAATGATAATTTGTCACCGAATTCCTCATGCCACATACAGCTTATTGTTGTCGTTAAGGATTATCGTTTCTTCGCCGGCGACAAAGTGTCAGTGCCACTGCCACAACTTCAACGCAAAAGAAAAAAATTCAAAAATAAATGTAAGGCAGGGCAAAGTTCCGACGGAATGTATTATTTCTTTAAAATTTTTGTATCTAATCTTTGAAATTATTAACATTGTACATAAATTTGTTTATTAAAATATTGGTTGACATATCCTTTAAGTTAAAAAGTTAATAAAGCTAAAGGTTTTGTTTAGCAAAGTATAAATGATAACGGGAACATAAGAAGCTTCCGACCGACACCACAGAGCTTCTCGCGAGTCACTACCGATGTGTGTGACCTTCCGTTATCACGAGTGAGCACAATTTCTTTCCTATTTGCCAAAGCTGGCAGCTAATCGGCGATTACAACCTTCAAACGGATCCGAATAAAAAATTTGAACGTAAGGAGTAGCTTTAATTGCTTATGAATCAGGCAATGACGTGATTGGTCCATTTCAGAGCTTCCGTGGACTGTACAGAATAAATCTTAGCTACTAAGTTGTTCAAGATGTATGAGGAAGGCCGGTTCATGAAATCCTCATTTGATTGGAATGAAATTATTATTAAAGAATTGACCGAATCATACCAAAAAATGAGACTTTCATTGGCCCCAGGGTCGTGTGAACTATACCCATTGATTTTATTGATAAAGGTTCGAAAATTTAATGGTAGATCTATTGCAAACAAAGATTCGGCGCGTCATTGGAAGAAATGCCAGAGATTTGACAAAAATAATCTATATCGTATTACTAATTTTTGTGCTTTAGTTGAGATGGATTTATTTAAGATGTAAGAAGGCTCTTAAAGAAATATTTGTCCTACGTGGTTAACCGGTTAAGGGTTGCATGTAGAAATGCTTAGATAAACAAACACTGTGGAATCAATTCTTTATATTAAAACCAACCGTTATCTGGATAACTAAATTATGCCGTAAGCTTCATTTTGCGATTGCATAAAAACTTTTTTGCGAGAGTTTTCTGTTCAGAGCTTAATACAAAAGCAAAACAGCGGAAGAAAACCTAACAACAAAGGTTCGAAAATCACTTGGGCGCTATCACTTTACGCGACCTTTGCTGAAATATTCAAATTATCGAAAGTCGCCAACACACTTTCTCCCACTTTTCTATGGGAGACTTTTTTCCTCGTTTTGTGTCCTTCATCAACGCTGCTGACACCGGCTAACGCTGCCGGTTAGGAAGCTGTCACTATGCATTATTGCAGTTTGGCGGGCACATGGAAAATTCGGGCGTGTGCTACTGATGGGTCGAATGCTTTGTCGCTTTGTTGGCGCTTGATGGCGTTTTGGGCAGATGAAAATTGCAAACAAAAATTGATAAAAATAAAGCAAAGCTCGAACGCTAGCTCAGCCAGTTTAACGGGCAAATATGCCACGTGCATACATTAATGATGCGTTGTTGTTGTTGGCGCATATTTTTGTTGCTATTTTGTGCTGCGTTCAGCCAAGTGGAAAGCGCTGCTTTGCCTGCGGCCAACTGACGCGCACTCTCCGAGGTCAACAGGGCGTATGAATTCTAAATATAAACGAGTATTTTTTTCCGGCCACTCTTACAAGTGTCGATAGTCGTTTCTTTGCATGTGTAAGTGGCAGTGTTTATATGCATATGTGTGTATGATTGTTTGCGTATGTGCTTGGAGAGCTGTTGCGCGTAGTGATTACAACTGCTTGCCCCGGCAAATGCTTTTGTGTGCGTTCATGTGTGTATCTGTTTCGCGTGAGTGTTTGTGTGTAAATTTGCATTCGTGCGAGCCTAGAGTGCTTGTCTGTTTGCGCATTTTGTGTCGAGCATTTGCATATCTTGTTTATTTATTTTGGCAAAGCACACAGCGACCAGCTGCCGGGCATTTATTTACCGCATTTCCTCTCCTTCGCGTTTGCATTGCTCTCGTTTTGTTATTGTCATTTTGGTTTTGACAATTTTCCATGATTTTTATTTGCACTTTTTTTGCGCTTTCGCTTCGAGCATATTTGCAATTTTCATTTTTGTGTCACCACCTGCCGACTCGCCAATGTTTGCATTTGACAATTCTATTTTTCTTTCACTTTTTTTTTGGTTTAAAAATTTTCCGTTTTTTTCACTTTTTATGCGGTTTGTGTGTTTCAACGTCTGCAAGTGAGTTTCTTCGTGGTTGTCGCTTCTTGTCAGCCGCTGCTTTGCTTTTCAACTTAGTTCAGTTAAGTTTGGCCTTCAAATGCGCTCTTTGGCTCTTTAAGTGGGGTCACTCTATATTTAAGTGCTTTGGTAAGAAGTTCTGAATTGTTGTGGATTTTTTTAAAAAGTGGTGATACAACTGCTTTTCTATTTATTGGGATTTGTACTTACCGGTCACCAGATTGGCGTGATGAAATTGACAAACAGCATCTGCCTCAAACCAGGATATTCGATCACGGAAGAAGCGATAGAAGACATTAAGTCCCTCCTGCGGCATGGTCCAAGTGTTGCTGACATTGACCTGCAAAAGAACAAATACATTTTTTTTTATTAAAATAATATTTGATTTGAATTAAATATTAATCGATGGAGTTTTGAAAGATTTTTCCTCAGTAGATATACATATTTAGTTTCATAGTTTGGCTGTTAAAATTTCAAAACTGTTGCACTCATTTTGAAATGATGTCTTCTAGGCCTATAACCTATTTTTTGAAAAAATAAAAGTATGAATTATATAAATGGGCAGGTAGGAGTGCTGTCCAAGGTTTGGGGTCTGATGGGTTCCAATTATTTTGTGTCGGGTTTGTGATAGAGCCGGACATTCACAGAGCAAGTGGAAGACCGTTTTCTTATTCCCTCTAGCTTGCAGGCCGATTTTTAGAGCATATTTTCCAAAGGGCCAGTGCTTCGTTATAGTGACTGTAAGTTTATATATACTGTTTCTAAATCTACGTAATAAGTTCGTTTCGTCATACTTGAGCCATATATTAGATATTTTACTATTTAGCAGCTTGGTAGTGATTTCCATGTGCTCTGTGCTACTTGTACAAAATGCATATAAATCTCTCTTTTGATCGCTTCCAGCGGGCATGGAATTAACTCCGCCTTGGACTCGTCTAAAGAGGTTCCTAGCTTTGGCAATTCATCTACCTTTTCGTTGCCGAAAACGTTCCTATGACCGGGAACTCAAATTATGGATAAGTCGAATTGACCTGCTAAAGAGCTTAAATCCTTCCTGCAATTGTTTACTACACTGGAATTAATCCTTGACGACGACAAGGCCAGCAATGCTGCCTGACTATCCGTGTATATGGTTGCTTTCCCGTATCCTTCTGTAGTTATTCAATAGGAATCCACATTCCTTCTTTATACGTAGTACTTCCGCTTGGAAGATACTGGCTGAGTTTGGTAGACGGATAGAAAAACAGATGTCAAGATCATTGGTGTATACACCTGCCCCTACTCCGCAGTCCATTTTGGACCCGTCAGTATAGATAGAGGTAGTATCCTTCGTACTAACTACTCCTCTTCTCCATTCACGTTTAGGGGGTATCATCACTCGAAAAAGTCTATTGGAATCTAACCTTGGGAGTATATTGTCTGATATACTTAGATTAGGCTGACTCCTGTCAATATGTACCGTTTTGTTCGACAACTTGTTACCATTTTGAAGGTAATTTCGTAATTCCACTCTAATAGAAACCTAAACTCGCGTCCCTATTGGCAAAAAAACAAGGAAAATCGATTGTCATAAGCTGCTCTTGAGACGAATATTTCACCAACAAAATTATCTGCTATAGACAGGAGCAGGTAGTCTTCATTTGGTGCCAAAACCAGACTATATGGTCGATGAGCAAGACCCTCTCAACTAAGCCCCGAAGCTTCTGGCGAGTCACTATCGATGTGTGTGGCCCGAAGTTAACTATTTTTATAGTTTTAGATTTGAGTTGCCTTATGTCAGCAACACTATTTGTATAAGTTCTAATTACGATACCTTCCATAAAGTTAAACTTTACTAAAGTAAAAAAACCGATGATTTTCTAGAAAGGTAGAGGAAGATCTTATCGATTTACACGTGATAAAATTGTGCTAAGAGGGTATGAATACAATATTCTGTACGAGACTTGCATTATCTTCTTATATAAGTAGAATATTGTGATATAAAAAAATTCACATGAAAGGGACATCTTGTGCAGAGATCACTTTATACACTGACAAAATTTTAAACTGGAAAGAGAATATGCTGTATGCATATACCAAGTTACCAGGATTATATGAAATCTGTTTAGTTAATCGTTTTAATGCACAAAATAAATTTCGAATACTTTTGCAAAAAAATATATACAAGTAATAAGGGAGCGGTGGAGTGGAATTTCTAAATGAGAGTAAGAAACGGAAAACTCGAAGTTTTTACAAAACAGTCATTACATATATTTTATAAAAAGCACATTGCAAAGTTAATTGGGGTAATTAAAATTGTAATCAAAAAATTCACAATAAACTTCTTCACTTCTGAGGTTTAATAAACTTGCCTAATCGAGTGGGTGTGTACGGGAAGGTAGAAGGGTCAAAACATATACCCAGCAACTTGCTGTACTTTTCTGCCTTTGGCAAACATTATTTTACTTTTTATTATTGTACTTATATTTACATTATTATCCCTTATTTCATACAATCGTCACATTTGCCTACATTTCCTTGTAATTATTTTTTATTTTCTGATTTTTTGTTGCTTTTAATTTCCAAGCGTACTTTTTGAAAGTTTTGTTGCCTTTATAATAAAGGAAAAATTGAGAAAAATAGGAAAATGGTAAAATGGTAAAAATGAAAGAGAAACGTACAGCATAGCATAACAAAGTGTTGCATAAACAAAGAGAAAAGGAAATCAACAAGCGAAGACGTTGTTTTTGTTGCGCTTAATTGTAAAAGTACCAAATACACAAGTGCCAAGAAAAAATTACTGTTAAATACTTACTGTGCTATAACTTTGTGGTACAAATAATTTTGAATCAGAAAGATGAATCATTAAGTAGTAGAAAAGAGAATAATAATAAATAAATAAGTTCAAAGAAAAATATTAATTGTGACCCAAGAAATTATAAGCAGCAACGCGTAGAATTTTCTATGCAATGAAAAAGCTTAAGGACCGCACAAATTTCCAAGTTGACGAACTCGCAATCTGTTTGTCTGTTTGTTCGTCTGTCTCATTTTTCTAACCTCTTACTTCATTGTACTTCGTCATTTTATGCAAGAGTTTTACCCAAGCCTTCTTCATTTAATTTTTCATTGTTATTGCGCCTCTTCGTTTTTTCTGCAGATAATTAGGCAAATACGACTGCTTCAACTCCCTGCAATTGTGTCGGTGGTTGCTGGCGATGCTGCAGCAACTTTTCGCGCCTTATTGTTTTTGTTGTTCCCTTTTGCTCAGTCAATTATCTTGTTGGCATTGTTGTTGTCTTAATTAAAATTATCAAAAGACTTGATTAACAGGAAATGAAAGGCAGTATACTCGTATGTGAGGAAAGGAGATAAAGAAAAGTTGCAGAAAGAAGGATTAATGCAATACGCGCATAGAGCTCTATACTATAGATTCCGCTACGATAAATGTGGAATTTTTCCGGTGTGCACAACTTTTGTGATATTAATGAAGACTAGTAAAAATGTTAACAGGTTTTTAAGGTTTAAGGGCTTTTGAGAGAATACGTAGTTTTGAAAAAGACGGCAAGAAAAAAGAACGGCATCTGAAAATCAATTAGCGTTCATAAGACATTTTGAATTTTTTCTAGAGTTAGGACCTCATATGCATAATACTTGTATACTTAAAAAAAATATTGTCAACATTTTTATACCCGCAGTAGGGCATATTAAGTGGGTATTATGGTCTAGAAATTTGAAAAAAATCAATTTTTTTTGCATATTTTCAAAGTTTAAACCTTCAAAAATATGCCCTTAAACAGCTTATGACATATCTGACATTGGCGTCTAAGTCGGCCGAGCGGAGCGATTCCTTTTAAACGCGTATTTCTCGAAACTACTTATTTTGAAGTGGTTGATATGATATGAGAAGTTCTACTTAAACGATTCCCTTGAAATTTGAGTATTTATAAAAAATTCGAAAAGTCAACAAAAAGGGAGTAAATAAAATTTTTTTTCAAGTCGATTTCATTTTATAATTGGTTTTTTTTTGCCAACGGTCAATCCCATAGTGAAATTTTTAATAATGAAGAATTTTTTCCATTTGTTTATGTAGGTCACTACAATTGTTGGAATCATGTCAACCAGAAAGCACCGTTTTTTTGTAGCTTCCACTGCACCACCTTGTAATTCGACGATTTCTTGCTTTTTTTTTATATTCTTCAAATGTCATTTAAAAAATGGGTAATAAAATGTTCCAGCGTTACGAACTGAGTCGATTTAGACATGTCGGTCCGTAAATACGCGACCTAGTCCATACGTGTAAATATCAATGTTAAAACACGTAATTTTCTCCTCAAGATTTGGCGAAGTCAAAGTTTTTTTGTCTCATAATGAATTTAATACACTTTTTGTATTTATAAGTTGATAGTCCAGCCTAAGGGTTCCAGAATCATTAAAAATTTTGTTGGATTATGAAGTATCGGCTTTTTATACAATAATAACCTGGTTCATGCTCACATACTTGGAACTGATTCGTATGTAGAACCACACAAGTACATATTACCTTATTAGGGATAATGTAAGCCCATATCAGTAGGATTACAATAGTTACAACTGCGACAATAGACTTCTAGTTCAAGGTTTCACCCTTCTAAATGCAAATCAAAGCAGTTCTTTAGTAGTCTTTCCGCACACCCATGAAAATTCCATTATCTGGTTCGTTAAGACATTGTGTAAATTAAATCTGATATTATAATCAATTTCGACTCGATTTTTCATATCAAAAATAAAACAATTTTATACAATTTGATCAAATTTGAACCGAACTGATAAAAACCTACATTTGCATGTATTTAAACACAAATCTTTATTATCTCCTTCCTCCTTTTATAAAAGTATGCCTATGATGACCTCAGTTCCTTTAGCGAATTTGGTTTTTTTTTGATTTCGGCTCATTTTTGTAGCAACATTCGCTAGACTGTTGGACAGTTTCGACGTGATATTCATAAATCCACGTCTCGTCATCAGTAATGATGCGTTTGAAGAATACAGAAACCCCAGCTGCGTTGTCAAGTATTTCTTTTGCAAAGGGGTTTTCGCAATAGATTCAGGTCCCCTGGTACGAGCCTAGCATTGGCACACTTATTACTTATACAATAACCAAAATGTGTTAAGTCGATCCATTAGAAATGTTAGGATCCGCTGCTATCTCTCTGATGCCGACACGACGATTTGCAATCATCATTTCTTTAACTTTTTCCATGCTATCTTCATTAACAGAGGTGAGTGCTGTATTCGCATGAGGCCAATTTTTGACGACTTCAGGAACTGCAAAGAATGCTTTGTGCCACTTTATACGAACATAAAAAATTCGAAGGAAATATT